GCCTCTCAATTGCAGTTGTCTGTTGTTCTGTAATCCTGTAAGGGCACTGAACCATCCTATCAGTTGCCCCCTTCCTGTTTGGAAGCCTCCAGAATCGGAGGCTTCCCATATTTATGTGCCTTGCCAGGCTGAAGCAGGCATGGCAGGACAGCTGGCAGAGGCAGTCCTCTCTCTTCCTGGATCTGCTCAGCCCACCTTATAAAGATGCTTAGGAAGGGGAAGGAAAGAAGCTTAGGATGTCTCCATCTCCTTCTCCTCACTGCCCCCCAGAACTCCTCTCAGGCTATTTTCTGACTGTAGAGAGCAGCTGATAGATATTTTTTTTTTCTGTGCCAGCTGCAGGGGGTTGGGAGCAGGGACAGATCTCTGACTTTCCTTTCAAGGTTGGAGAATTGTCTCTGAGCTGGGGGATTTTCAGCACTCAGTGGTCCCTGCGATGCTTTCCCAGGGACCATAAGGTTGCTGTTTTATATGGTGTAGCCTGTTCTTTTTTATTATGGGACGACAATGAGAAAAAAAGGTGGCCGCCATTCTGATCCAAAGGCGAGCAAATTCATCAATGTACTATAATTTGTTTCCAAACAATGCAACCTTTGTAGGTTCATTTAGCAGCCTTTTAGTAATTTGCTGCAACCTATCTGTCCTTGCTTTAGCAGCTGGGCCATCATTTGTGGATACATGTTGTTTCTGACTTACAGTGTTCAACTAGTTATATATTTAACCACAGCCTCGCCCACCTTCATTACACTGCAGCATCATTCCATTTTGCAACGCAAGCCGTTGCTTGTTGCCAAATGTGGATGGAGCTGTGTGAAAAGAATGCCTCCGTGATTTCCCATCGCTCAGGGAGGTGCACATAAAATGGCCAGTTTCCAAAAATGCTCATACCTGTGTTGTAATCTTTGGCAGCAGTGGTCATTATGAAGTGTCAAAACAACGTATTTCTGTTCTGTTTGCATTGTGACATGAACACCTGAAGTCTTGAAACATGTAGTACAGTCATGCAAAAATTGATGGACTCGCCTTTTTAGCAATGCAATCTGTACATTATTATTATTATTAATAATAATAATAGAAATTCATGAATTTTGTGCCTCAGGAGGTTTACGATCTCAAGATACAGGTATCAAATCTGTGTAGTTTTGCTGAAATATATAGATACTTCTGTTTTGTCATGTTTAATGTTTTCTTTACACATATCCACAGACATGTATCCCAGAGAGATACTTGATAGATCTTTGATCTCATCTGGCTGATGAAAGTAGCAAGCCACCCCCTCACACTCACACTCACACGGACTCTCCATTAAGAAAAAATGGGGTAAAGTAGAAGTAATTGATTCTATGTACACTGTATAGGAAGAAGGTCTGTTTGTTCCAACCCTTATGAATTTCTTTTGTGGGACAGTAGAATATTTTCCCTTACTTTGAAGAGCAAATGCTGCTTCCCAAATTGGCTGGCTTCTGACTAGTGCCTGCTGCTAACAGATCTGCTTTTACTGGGCCTTCCTCAAACCTCTTTTGGGGAGTTGGGGGCTGTAGAAGGGGAAAAAGGAAGGGATGTTTCACTTGCAGGCATGTAAATCCACTTGTGCAATGTTGACTGTTACCCATTTTTTTTTTTGTTTTGGTTATTTGCACTATATTTTCAGCACTAACTAAACATTGCGGTGAGATAAGTAACTTGGAGTATTTAGGATTAAATGTCAGATACACTCAAGCAGAAATCTGTGAAGGGATTATGACCTTTCCATGTGCTTTAAATTTAGTCAAATTAGTCTAAATGTGTGTGTTTCTCACTTGTCAAAAAGATTGCAAAATATGATTGCCATGTTAAAGAGTTGGCAGTGGTCATGCGGTGGAGCTTCCTGAAAATGTTTAAGAGATAATTTGAACAATCAGATTGTATAACTATTTGTACAGAATTACTCTCAGCCAGTTGAAATTATTTATCTCGGTGATGGTTGTTAATAAACCATTTCTTTGTTGCTACTATTCCCTAAGACTAATACTGCTATTCCCCTACATTGATAAGCTTGCTTCAGATCTTCTCACCATAGCTAAGATCATTGCTACATGCTGTTGGGCAGAGTCCCCAAATTCCCCCCTCTCCACCTATCAGAGCTTTCAAAAAGCATCTTTATGCAACTCTGTGGTGCAGCCATACTTGGAATACTGGGCAAACTTTTGGTCACTGGAAAAGTGCACTGTAGAACTGGAAGAGGTATGGATATGAGCAACCAAAACAGTCAAGGGACTAGAGCAGTTCTCCTATGAGATCACAACATTTGGGTCTTCTAAGCTTAAACAACCACCACCAAATAAGAAAGGCATGTCATAGATGCATGGTGTAAAGAAAGTTGATAGATGTGTTTTCTCTCAGTGTGAGAAGAATGAAGCTGAATGGTAGAAATTTAACAACAAAGAGAAGTCGTACTCCACATTAGGCACAGTTAATCTGTGAATTTCACTACTACAAGGTGCAGTGGTTACCCACTCAGATGGCTTTAAAAGATGATTCAACAAATGCATAGCAGATGAGGCCATCAGTGCCTGCTACTCCTGATGTACCTTTGGATGTTACTGCCAGGATGCCGGTGTGCACCAGTTACTGGAAGTTTGACTGGGAGGGTATTGTTGTGCTCATGTTCTGCTTATGGGCTTCCTTGGTCATCTGGTTAGCCACTGAACAGAGTGCTGGATTAGGTAAGCCTTTGGTCTGGCTCGGCAGAGCTCTTCTAATATTCTTGTCTTTTAAGGGTAGATGACCCTCCTTAATGGGGTACACTGTAAATTCCAAGAGTTAAGGGGAGGATCTCTGAAAATCAAGCGGTGACATCTATTTTCCACCCTTGTTACAAATTAGAATGAAAATAAAGAGCTCACTTTCATTTTAAACGATTCAGTAAATGGTTTATATCTTATTTTAGCGAGCAGCAAATTATTTTTACTTCATGGCTGCCGTCCTGCACATAACAAAGTTTGCTTAATTGGCACTGCTTCCCATGGTACTCTTATTCACGTTTCTCTACAGGGTAATGAACTCAACCTGTCAATAGCATTCAGAAATTGCATTCTTCTTTTGGATAATGATATTTGGATAAAGATAAGTTGATTTCTAGTGTTGTTGTTTCCATTCTAAATGATGGTTGTCTTGCTGAATTCCCAGTTTCTGACCTAATGGTTCTTGGTGGGGGTTGGGTTATTTCAGTATTACAAAGATTATGGTGCAGAAAATACTGCTGTAAAGCAGGGAAACATCTGCTTTAAAGGAAGCAGATTTAAACAGCTGGAAGGTTTGCTTCACACTAAAAGAAAGATTGCACTGAAGCAAAATGCAAAATACTCTATGTTTAATTACTAGATGGAAAGCAATGCAACATCTGGCAAGAACTTCAGTTTAAATCTTTTACTGTTTTGGATAACAGAAATAGAACTTAAAAGAAAATAACATGTAGTAAGAGTTTGCCATCTATTTGGAACTGAAATTGCTGCTAAAAATAAAATAAAAGGCATTATAAATCATCTTCTCCTTGGAGTCTTTCATTCTATATTTGCTTACCCTGGTTAAAACATGGAATGTTACTACAGAATTCTCAGTACTTCAGTTACATTGAAACAGATATTTTGCTCAAGGGAGTAGCAAAAAAACCCAGCTTTCATACAAGCAGTGATCTGGGAGTGGGTTTATGTGCTGAATTTCCCTGGGGTGTGTGCATGTGCGCAAGTGTGTGTGTGTGTGTGTGTGTGTTTTACCTTAAGATGACTTCTTAATGTCTGTGGTGTGTCCATCCATGCCAGTCAGTCGCATGATTGATTCAGCACTTCTAAGAATGCAGTGACATTTTCAGCAGCAGCAAATGCTCAACTGGTATGTTTTCCGTCTGTCTGTGACAATATTCCAAATGAGTTTTATTCACTTGTTTATTTCCTAGAGCATGTTTTCTAATAGTCTTTACTCTTCCAGAGTATTTCTACCAGCATAAATGAGCAAAGTGTACTTTAAATGTATCTATCATTGAAAACACATTCTTGAGGTTACCATTATGAACAGCAAGCATGAACCAAGAGGCATCTTGTCTGTCCCACAGCTGTGAAATTCCCCTTCTCTGGGAACTCAGGGCTACTTCCCACACAACAGGATAAATTCCCTTCCAAAAACCATTTCTTCACAGCATACAACAAAGAGCACAAAGTGCATTTTCTTGCATGATGGCAGCATATACATCACATGTATTCCAGACACACCACTTCTGAGAAATGTGAATTTGCAGTGGTCACAAGCAAATTCACAGGAGCATCTGCTGAGTGGGAATCTAATCATATGCTTAGTGGCTCTTGTGAACTCCTGGGATGTTGCTTTTGAACGCCTTTTTGGAAGCATTAAAACCCTTCTTACTTGGATGAGGATGAGATTTAAAGACTGCCAAAAGGTGGAGTTCTTTACCCTTTTAATTTCATTTACATTGATTGGGGGGCGTTAGAGAAAGATGAGTGATTAGCAGGATTGTTGCTATTCTTTACCTTCTGTAGTATTTAAAGAACCCAATTTTAAACCGTGCTGGGAAGCACTGAATGACAAGCTGTCAGCTGTAGACAGGGCTTTGTGCCTTTCAGGGACTTGTGGGAAAGGAGGGGAATGGCTGGACGGTATAATCTGTGGACTTGGCCATAGACACACTGCCCAGTGCGGTGCATCTTTACTCAGAAGAAAGCACCATTGAATTCAGAAAACACATCCTAAGGTAAATATGTATAGGATTGCAGCATATAATTTTCATGGACTGAGAACCCTAAATTGGAGAAAATAAAATAACTTAAAACTTTGTTATCCGTAAACAATAATAACATTCACAAGTTTTCCATTGTCTGTCACACTCAACCATGTCTTCTTTCATAAGAACCAGATAATACTACAGAGAAGATACACTGGCTTTGTTTTTAGTAGGCTTTGTCCAGTTTCTGAATGTTTTGTGTGACATTGCCTTTGGGTGTTTTCAGGTACAGGCAGCTGCAGCTCAGCACAGAAAGCAAAGTGGCTGAACTTTTCCATCAGAGTAAACTGAAGTCATTTGAAAGTGAACGTGTTCAACTCATGCAAGAAGAAACGTCTAGAAACCTTTCTCAGTGTCAGCTGGAGTGTGAAAAATACCAGCGAAAATTTGAAGTAAGAAACGCTTCAGTGGAGTGCTGCAAGGGGCAGTGGCTAAGGAGATTATGTGGACAGGGCCAGTGGTGTGGGCTCTTCTTCATCGCCTGAATGTTGCCCTCCTTCCATCTGAGTGTTGATTGGCTGGTTCATCATCATCACGCGAAGCAAATCAAGGAAACATCATTACTTTTTTCTTGCATGTATAGGCCCCAAACAGCTGTCGAGCATCATCTTGCCTTATTGTTGTTGAACAAATGGAGACAAATTGCTTTGTCAGAAATTGTTAAAAGGTCATTTTGGAGAAGAGAGTTGCCGTTGACTTTTGGCTGCAAAACGTAGAGACTGTCTTAAGCTCAAAGGCTAAGACTGGCCATCTGTACTTATCTTGGGAACATCTGCTTTCTTCGCCATAGAATATTGATAGCAAAGATAATTTAGAGTTGACAAGTGAAACCCTGGAACAAAATTGCATTGGTAGAATGTTACTGCAATTTTCCAGCTGTTCAGCTACATACTCTTCTATCTCCCCTTCTCGGTTTTCCATTTTTTTCCTTCCGAGAAGACAGACAACATTCTATGCCCATTCTATGCTTAGTTGTTGTTGGACTTTTTCCAGTGGGTTGCCTCCTTGGGTATTTTCCCAAATTATATTTTGTATTTCTGAAAACCTAGGGATCTCTCCAAGTATATTGATACTGCCGCCATGTTTATGGGTGGTTCCATTGTGGCTACATCAGGGATGTTATTCAGAGTACTGTAAGCCGTCCTGAGCGCTTGATGCAATAGGACGGGGTATAAATGTATGTAATAAATAATAAATAAATACTGCTGTTTAGGAGGGAAAATGAACACAGGATATAACTTGCAGTGCAACTCAGCAAATTATTTTGCTGTATGCTTAGATTTCACAAGAGTGAAATCTTCAATCTAAGAGTACAGTTAGTGATCCAGACTAACTGTACAGGCCTAGAAATATCTACTCCAAAGTAAGCCTCCTTAAATGTAGTGGCACTTACTCCCAGAAAGCTGAGTATAAAATTGCAGCTTAGGTTAGTGACGCTTCCTAAATTAACTACAATGCTAGTAAGCCTCTAGAGTCAGGGAGCTTATTGGCACTGAAAACACGGTCAATGGGATTGTGCCCCTAACCATGTTTTAATGTTGGTTGTCATTGTCAGCCTTCTTGAATGCCATTTCCTTGATAGAAAGGTTGGCACTGAAAACACGGTCAATGGGATTGTGCCCCTAACCACGTTTTAATGTTGGTTGTCATTGTCAGCCATCTTGAATGCCATTTCCTTGATAGAAAGGTGGAGGCATATTGTGAGGAGCAGAGTTTTAAGAAAAGAGGGAGTGTACTCCAGGAATGGAACATGAAGAACCTATCTGTGCAGGGCATAAGCCAGCCTTCCCTAAGCAGGTGTTCTGCGGATGCGAGGGACCTGCGCATTCCATGGCTGTGCTGGCTGGGAATAATGGCAGCGTAACATGACCAGTACGTACCAGGTCTGGAAAGGATGCTGTACATTCACAATGGAACAGATTTTTAATGACCCATATATGAATGAACAGATGAGTCTACTACAAATTACTGCTAAAAATATCTTGGCATTTAAATAATTAAATAATTCTATTTAATAATATTTCCTATAAATTAAAACAAAGGTTGCTAGCCAGAAAAAAAGTGCATAATGGTGATTTCCTGTTTTGCTATAATTTTACAAGCCGCTGTTAATGAACAGCATAGCACTATTATTTTGGGCTGTTACGAGCTTCATCAGTGTCTGATGGTCATAAATAGGCTACTGATCCAGGTAGATCACGGGTATGACCCTAAAGAACCCAAAAATAAAAGCAGCACCCAGCGCAACAGACCAGGTTATATGCCATCAACCTGCTTAAATAAAAATACATTTCTCTGTTGGCAGAAAGAAAACACAGAGGAGGCCAACCAAGCCTTCCTTGAGCAAGGTGTTCCAAAGCCCAGGAGCAGCCCCGGAGAAAGACACTGTCTTGTGTCCCCCGCAAACATGCCTGAAGTGGGGGTTGTATTGCGAAAACAGCCTTCCTTGAAGATGTTAACATCTGAGGAGGCTTGTCTGGTATAAATGTGCTTGCATATGATAGAAATATGGACGTTCACTTGCGATCGGTTCAGAATTATATTTTATATGTGTCAGTTTATCCACTGAGATGATTAGCTCTTAATACACCCCGAGGTGGTTCTAAACCAAGCTGCTTGTCTATTTGTATGCCTATGCTTCATTGTGACCGTTTCCATACAGTAAAGAATTTGGAGCCAGTACTCTAACACAAGAATAGCTAATTTCTTATTTATTGCACACTTTGCCATGTGGCTTTAAGAAATGAACGGAGGGATTTTTTACACCATCAAATTAAGGAAAAATTAAGGATAAATGCCTTTTAAAACCAAATATCTTGATTTGGAAGGTGAGAGTCACTATGCAAATCTACACTTAGGAATGGCTTTTGAATAAGCATAGGATTCTTAACCTGGATGATCAGTTAAATAGTAGTTATAGTAATTTTACCAAGTTTGCATCCTTCACAAATAATTTATAGTCCTCCGTTAATTAACTTTTCTTTTGATTTTTATCTTCATAGGTTTTAACCAAAGAATTTTATGATCTCCAAGCACAAAGTGAGAAACGGATTTCAGAACTTCAGGCACATAATTCTGAGTACCAGGCAAGGCTTGACACATACGAAAAACTGGAAAAAGAACTTGATGAGATAATAATGCAAACTGCAGAACGTAAGTTCTTCTAAATTACCATGTTTTTCCTGTAATACTGTGTTGGAACATATTTTCAGGTCTGGTAGCTATTAATGAGATCAGTAACTTTTTAAATTCCGGGAATTTTGAGTACACAGTCAATATCCAACTGTGTAGTATAAATTAACATAATATATGTATTTTACTCTACCTAATTGGTAGTCAGAATATCTAATGAATTTTGATGATTTCCTTAAATTACTCCATATTAAATACTCCTTATTGGCTCTGATCTCTTGTCCGTACATGTCAAATCTATCTGCAGACTTTGTTGGTTTGCTCTGTCTTCTGTTGTATTTGTTTGGCAAGGCAAGTGAAACCCCTGAGTTGCACATCTTTTCATTGGCCATGAGAAAGCAAATGTGAAGTAGGATGCAAGTAAGTTTCTACTAAAGGATTTTCCCTGGTGGCAGCATGAACTGGTGCTGTAGAAGTTAAAGAGTGCATCTTCAAGATCAGTCCATGTACATGGTGCTCCTCCCCAGGCAAACAGGGCAGAAAGTTATAACTGGAGGGGCAGAGGGTCTGTCCAGGCAGCCCCCTTGTTCTGCCAGCCCGCCTGCTCGTGATTAGCCTTGTCAGAGCAATTAACACTTTGGCAGTTTGTTCTGTGGAAAGGGAGAAGGAACCCTTCAGTTCAGAAGCTATCTTTGAACATCTCTGCATAGTTTGTGTGCTTTCTGCTCCGTTCCAGACAGTCTGAAAAGGTTCTACTGAATGGAAGCATAACGGCAATAACCAAAGTAGGTCAGTTTTGAAGTTGCCCTTTCCCATCTGTACACAGGCACGCTTGCAGGCACACCCAGAGAGACGCTTTTTCCTCCACCCCCTTTCCATGCTTCTTGGTGTGAGCCCTTTCTCCGGTTGCGTTCCAGGCACAACATAGCAGGTTGAATCGTGGACCAGTTGCCTCACATGAAGACGGGCCAAGCGAGAAGGCCTCTCTAGGTGACCTCACAGGCAGACTCATTTGGTGGAAGCCAATCCTTCAGCTGTTAATATCAGTTCAGGGTGTAAACACTTAGAATGAACACTTCGAATTGAACTGAAAATTTATCAGCAGCCAGTGCAGTGGAATCAAGGGCTTTTTCATGGAATCCATAGCACAGGCCCCACTCAAACACTTGCCTCAGCTTTCTGCACTAGATGCTTTTCAAAGCATCCCCATGAAAGCACATTGCAGTCATCTACTTTTGATGGAACTAAATACACAATCTTAGGCACGCTTAGGTAAGAAAAAATCCTACCACTCTCAGCATTCTCCAGCCAACAAGACCAGAACATGCTGGAAGTTGTGGGATTATTTTCTGCCTAAACATGCATAGTATTGAACTTTAGGGCATCTTGACTAGATCTGTGATCTTGAGGAACAAATGCAGTTGGTGCTTCAAGCACTGCATGGTAAAACTTTTATCGGGATATAGGAAAGAGAGTAGGAACATAAAAGGGTGCCTTATGCCAAATCAGACTACTGGTCCATCTATCCCAATACCAGAAGTGGCTCTCTTAAATTTCAGTGTATGGTTTGCTACTCAGACCTTCCCTAACAGTGATCCTGGTTGGATTTCAGAGAAGATAGAAGGTGGCTTAGTTATCTTAGCATGAAAGACGTACAGTTGGACCTAAGAAATCCAGATTAAGATTCCTACACAGCTATTTCACTGAGTGTATTTGGCAAAATCTCTTGGTCTGACTCAGTGTCCAAATCGGGACAAGAAATTGCTGTCTCACAGATTGACTGTTTGAATACAAGCATAGAACTGGGAGGGGGACTCATTAGTTCTTTTAGACTTTCTATTTATTGTCCATACTCTATGAAATCTGGCCTGCCAGACTTGGCAGTTGTGTTAATTTCGTCATAACAAACATTTCATTACTGTGTGTGTTTGTGTGGAGATGAACAAATCTTATTATAATGCTGTATAATTACTGTGATGACAATATTCAGAAATATCACATCAATTCATTTAGTATGCATGCTGTTGGCTTTTGTTGTCAAAAAGCTTGTTGAAATAAGCTGTATTTATGTTTTATAGTGTTCCCTAGAGCTAGCAGAGCGATTGTGTGTGCGTGTGTGTGTGTGTTTGTATACAGACTGCATTGAAATTGAGGGACTGTTGCCAAAAATATTTTGTCCTGTACTTTTTGTGCTCATAATTATTCTGCTTACCTCGTATAATTATGGTGTTGCATATGCTGCCAGGAAAAAAAGAACACTCACTTTCCAGGCTAAATGGTGCTTGCTTGCTCCTTTATATCACAGAATGGGACAGAAGGGGGGAGAGATTATTGCTATATTTCACAAATGAATGGCTTTTTAAAGGGGAGCCGTGCTAATGGCACACTGATAATTGCTTTGAAGCATTTAAACTTCCTTCCTAATCGTTTGCATCAGCTGTGTACTCCTGCAAAGTCTGTAACATTGCTCATGTACTCGAGAGCAGAATGCAGGCACACCACAGGTGAAAACAGGCTGGGCCGGTCGACTCTACCCTACTTCCATGTTTCTCTTTCTACCTGAACCTGAATTTGACCAACTACAAGATAGGATTTCCCTACCACATGCTCCAGGCATCGGTTTCCCAGATTCCATTCCTTCCATGTATGCCGGACGGCCTGACTCTGTTGTGCAGGAGGGTGTCTTGCTCCTGGTTAACAGTAGCTAAGTTGGGCACTAACTTGCCTTTCACCTCAGAGAGCAAAATACCTGTGGCCAGCCATTGGGCCAGGGTGGCCTGCTCTGTCGTTCTGCAGTCCTGGGCAGCGGTCAGTTGAAAATGAATATTCTTTCTTTCTGACATCCTTTGATTACTCTATCTATGCTATCATATTTATTGTATGCTTCCCTAAAGCCCAAAACAGATTAAAGGCAGTATAAACGTATTTTACATTTTAAAATTTAGTAATTAATCTAATTTAGTAATTTAGATAAGGAAGATCATCACTCGTACACAGATGTCCCACATATTACGTTCCAGTTAACTGATGGAATATACAGCAAGGCTTAATCTATTTCCATATTTATTTCCATGTTATTTACTTCTTAATCCTGCCTGCTTGTGCTAGACCAGCTGTCTGTGGCCGGTTTAGGCCCTTGCATACTCCTCAGCCTTCCTTTCCATCATTCATTTAGTCAAATATTTCACAAGGAAATACTCTCATGAAGTAACCAATATTAACCAAACTGACCTCTGTAATGAAGCGATGTCATTGATCAAGAGGAATTATTGCAGTCTATGCTGTCTTACCTTCTTTGCATCACCTGTATCTATAGACTTGATGCAGGTGTTCAGCGGTCACAGTCCTCGTTTTTCTAGGTCTTCTGAGGGTCCGTTTTGTATTTTTATAGTTGAAAACGAAGACGAAGCAGAAAGAGTTCTGTTCTCCTATGGATATGGTGCAAACGTTCCTACAACAGCCAGAAGGCGGTTGAAGCAAAGGTAAAATCCATGTCAGCTTGCAAATGTGTTTCCTAAAGTGCTTTTCTTTGAGTTACGCAGAAAGGAGGCAATGAAAATCTGCTGCCCGAGTGTGGCTCCACTGGTGAAGAGTGACTGGGCTTGTTTCCTAGACTCTGTTGATTCTTCTCCATTATTCAGTCACTTCCAGCACTGTGCCCACTGCTTGCTCATGCTTACTAGGGGTCCTGATCTGCACAATGCTGATTAATGGGAACAAAAGGGGACGTGATATTGGGAGGGTCATGCCATGAAAGGGGGAATCCGACTTCGTGAACTTGCAACTCTTGCCAACCCCATCATTATATATCTATCTGAGCAAGACTTAATGGCCTTTTAATAATTCCCATATTTGCCTTGGTAGCATTGTTCAACATACTTTCAGCATAGACATTCATTTTATCCCTTCCCCCTGTGCCATCCCGCCCCTTAAGATCTGGCGTGGAGGTCCTTCTTTGGGAGCCCTCCCTGGAGGAGATTAGGGGAGTGGCTATCCAAAGAAGGGCCTTCTCGGTGGTGGTGCCCCAGTAATGGAATGCGCCCTTAGAGAGGCTCACCTGGCACCAACTTTGTATTCTTTTCGGTGCCAGGCTAAAATCTTTTTATTTACCCATTATTTTAAAAGTTGATTAGGTTTTTAATGTATGATTTTATTACTGGATGCTATGCTTGATTTTTATCCTGTTCATTTTTATTCTGCTTTTATTGTAAGTCTGTCCCGAAACAGTAGTAGTTGAACAGCATGCAAAAACAATGAATGAATGAATGAATGAATGAATGAATGAATGAGAAAGACAGACAGACAGATTTTCAAATATTAAATTCTAAAAATCACTTGAGTGGGTACATTAATTCTTACTTTTATAATAAGTGATGTTCATAGGAGTATCATTTTAAGAATGTGCCACTGTCCTATCTTGTTCTCACCTAAGCATTTTTTTAGGCATAATATCACAGAAACCTTATATGTAACAAGGCAGAATATCTTATAGAAGCTACTCCCACAATCTGGATTTTCTGTAAACACTGTTAAGCTTTCTTAGTTGTGATGATGTGAAACATTGCCCTAAATGGTAATAATTGGTTCATTTCAGGGTGTTTATCTTTACCAAAATAATACAATCCATGCATAGGATGGAGGGATCAGAATGCCTGCAAGAACCCAAGGCTGCAGAAATACAAAGCAATCTTTAAGGGGTGGGGGGACTTTGAGGTGATGGTGAGGGGAGGCCAGAATTAACAAAATGAAGAATGAGCATACATCCTGGAAAAGACGCAAATGTTCTGGGGAGAAAAACTGGTAGAATAACAGGAACAAATAGAATGGGTGTTAAAGGAGATCATGGCTGGAACCCTGAACAGGAGGAGTCCACAGTGCAAGACGTTGCTGGTCCCACTTTTGTTGCTGTTCTTGTTATTTTTGCTATTACTATTACTACTACCACTACTATTTTGAAATGCTTTTTATCTAAAAATATGGAGATTTACAAAACCCCCCAAATGATAAAGTAAAATTAAAACAGAAACAGAATGCAACTACTAAACAATTTAAAGAGCAGTAAAATATTAAAAGAGAAATTAATCAGATAAAATGCCCATGTACTTTGGAGTGCCAAAGGGTCAATCCCTTAATAATACATAATTTCTTTAACGTACTTTGAAAAGAATCCCATTCACCTATGTAGCTTCTGCAGGCAGTTGGTTGTGCTAGAGCTTCTTTAAGCTTGTTGTAAGAAAGAGGGTAAATATGTGTGCCAGTTCATTTTCGTTTAACTTAGGTTTTGTGCCACAGTAAAAAATAGTCTGCCACATCACAGTGTTGAGTATCTTGTGTACATCAAGTAGTAACAATGCCATTTGGAACCATTTCAGTTCCAGCTTGTAACTCAAGTAAACGTAGAAAGGGCAGAATGGAATGCATACTTCTGCAAGGCACAAGGTACCATGTTGACCCCGAGAACTTCCCCAGAGACCTGACGGGCCGTTCTGTGTCCGATGGAATGCTGCCGTGAGGATGTATGAGCAGGCCTTTTCAGAGCTGGCACCCACCCTGTGAAATCCTCCCCCTTGTATCATTTGAGAGGCAAAAACAGGCAAGTTTCAAATGCCTCGTGAAACCGTGTTTATTTACAAAGATTTTCTCTGACCAGTGAGACCCTGTTACCACCCTCTTTTATTGTTGTGATGACATGAAGTTTTTAATTGTATTTACTTTTTATTGCTGTTATCGTCTTTCTGCATGGTTACATATTATTTTGAAATGAACAGCTCAGGGATTTTAATATATGAGGTATGAAAGTATATAATTAAACAGTTAAGTTGTGTGGAATTCCAGGAGTTAACGTTTCAGCTGCTGAGAAAAGAACAGTGTTCCTCTTGTTACCAATCAGTTATTGGTGTTATCAAGATTGTGATTCATCTCTTGTTGGAACACCCATTAAATGACAGATGTGTCTACTACCACAGCAGTTCTTCCGTTTTAAAGTGGGAAAAGATACTCTTTCTTAATAAGGTTGATAAGCTAACCTTATTTTATTTTTCTCTGTCTCAGATTCAGATCTACCACCCCACCCCATTGCTGCCTATATCATTTCCCTGAAGCAAAAATATTGCCTTCACTGCTCATGGATAGGGACCAGTACTCTTTTAGAAGCTGAAACAATGTTTTGTGAGACTGTCTGGAAAGAGCCTGTTCTTTCCTAGCCTTCTGAAAAGATTGTAAAATAACAGTTGTGGTACATTAAAGATCAACAGATGTATTA